ATATAGATGCAGTGAACATTTCTGGAACTGGTACCATCGTTATGGCTTCTGTGAAAGTCAGGAAGTGATGGAAGGAGACCTTTTTTTTTTTTTTTTGTTAACCTTATATGCATCCCGTTAAAATATTTATCATCTACACTTATAACATTAAAACATAAGGATGAAAATCAGTCAAACCAAAACAGAGAAGCGCATTTGAATCAGGCTTTACAAGAAAAATAGCATAGATCTCTTTTTGGCTCATGCTCCCAGTCCAGCTAGGTCCAGAGATGCAGGAAGCTCCTTGATGGAGTAAGCCACTGAGCAGATGACTCGCCTGAAAGTGGCTGTGTTTTGCAAATACTTATCTGCCAGCACTGCTTTCTTGCAAGGGAGTCCTTGGGCTGGTTCTGAGCCTCTAACTGGACCTTCAGGACAGACACAGGCAGGATCTGGGCAGTGTCATGGAAGCAAGGGGCATAGGAGGAGTCATGAATGTGGATACCGCCCAGAGCCAGGGACCTCGCTAGATATGGAGGCAAGCTAGGCAGAAAGCGGGTGGCAGGAAGCTCTGAAAAAATTAGTTGAGGTAGGCGCAGTGTTCTAAGTGATTTTTCCTCCGGTGTTTGGAGACATGTTAAAGTGCCTTAGAAAAGTCTACTCATTTGAAAGAGGACCTCCTTGTTCCAGTTTTTAGAGGGAATGCTTTCAATTTTTCTCTGTTTAGGATGATGCTGACCTTGGGGTTTGCATAGATAGCTTCCATGAGGTTGAGGTCTGTTCCTTCTATTCCTAGTTTTTCTAGTGTTTTGAACATGAAGGGTGCTGTATTTGTCAAATGCTTTTTCTGCCTCTATTGAGATGATCATATTATTCTTGTTTTTAAGTATATTGATGTGATGAAGTATGTTTATTGATTTCTGTATGTGAACCCCACTTGATTGTGGCACACTATCTTTTTAATATGTTTTTGTATGCTATTTGCCGGAATTGTATTGAGAATTTTCGTATCGATGTTCATCGTGGATATTGGTATGAAGCTTTCTTTCCTTGATGTGTGCTTGTGTGGTTTCGGCGTCAGGGTGATATCAGCTTCACAGAATGAGATTGGAAGGGTTCTCTCCTTTTCGTATTCCACGAAACGTTTTGAGCAGTATTGGTGTTAATTCTCCTTGGAAGGTCTTATAGAACTCGGCTGAGAATCGATCTGGTCCTGGACTTTCCTTGATTGGTAGACCTTAGGTATTCCCACCACAAAAATCTAACAAAGAAAAGAAAATGTTAACTATTCTGAAGTGATAGATATGTTAGATGATTTGAGCTATCATTTCACAGCATTTACATATAGCAAAATATCATGTTATGCAACTTAAGCGTAACTGACCACATGTATTTTGTCAATAAATTTTGTCAAAAAAAAAAAAAAGGGCTGTGACTATGGATTTCTTTCTTGAATGAGTAGAATTTTCTTTTTTAAAAAAATCGTTAAAATCTGTTTTAGTTAGTTATACATGACAGTAGAATGCATTTTGATATATCATAAATAAATAGGGTATAATTTCTCATTTTTCTTCTTGTACACGTTGTCAGATCACATCGGTCATGCAGTCATATGTGTACGTGAGGTAATAATGTCTGTTTCATTCTACTATTCTTCCTATCTCCATATCCCTCCCCTCCCTTCACTCTCTTCTACCTAATCTAAAGTAACTTTATTCTTCCCTAGCACCTTGGCCCTGATTGTGAATTAACATCCACATATCAGAGAAGGCATTCGGCCTTTGGTTCTATGGGATTGGCTTATTTCGCTTAGCATGATATTCTCCAACTCCGTCCATTTGCCCGGAAATACCATAATTCCCTTCTTCTTTAAAACTGAGTGATATTCCATCAAATATTATATACCACATTTTCTTTATCCAACCTAGGTTGGTTCCATAGTTTAGCTATGGTGAATTGAGCTTCTATAAATACATCTTGGGCCTCCCAGGAATACCATAAGGCCGGTCTATTGCCCCCAGGGTTATTAGCATTTACCAAGAACTCGAGACACAATGGGGATGAGTCATCTCATCCCTGGTCTTAACAAGACAGGGCCATACACAATGGGGGTGAGTCATCACTGGTGTTGCAAGAAGGCAGCTTAACCAGCTTTTCCAGGTTCGCACAAGAGGGTGGAGAATTTCCTTGCGGGGAGGGGTGACAATATGGCATAGGCCGCTCCCCTTCCCGACTTTTTCTACTGCGTGTTCCAGGACAGGAGCACTTGGTGTGGGACCCAGGGGACCAGGCCAGGCATCAAAAGGGTCCAGGAGGCCATTGTCAGAGTGAGGCTTTAAGCCTTTCTCCTCCTGGGCAGTGAGAGGACTGACTCGCTGTGACCCAAGTCGCTCCTCAACAATGGCTTCCCAATACTGCTCCTCATACTTAGTGTGAGATTGCCCCATCTTTTCGGGGAGACCCCTACCTCGAAACTCGCTTGGCTTGGCTTGGCGATACTCTCACTTTTGGTGAACCGACTTCTTAATGCCCCACGTTGGGTGCCAGATGTGTGTGAGGGGGGGTTAGCCCCACCCCACCCCACCCGCTTCCCTCCTGACCTGCGGGAGAGATTGGGAGAGCACGCCCCGACCATGAGGAACCCAGAAAGGAAGGGCTGACTGACGCCCCCCCCCCCCAGCACCCAGCCCTCCCCCACGGGAGGACAATCAGACAAGCCAGGGAGACCAGTCAAAGCAGGATCTCAGTTTATTGAGAAAACACACACAGCTAATACAAGGCACAGGAGCCAATCAGGATAATGGTCAGCAGGGTGGGGAGAGTTCACGTGTTCACCCATCTCAAGGGCCCTAATGGGAGACCCGAGCCTGTCCAGAGGGCAGAAGGGTTCTGAGCCTGTCCTAGAGGTCATCTGGTTTTTCCTCACAACCCAGGCAACGCCCTCTGGCCGGTCCCCAGGCGCTTTCTTAGCCACAGGTGGCCCCAGGACCCGGAAGCGGGCAGCAAGTTCGGTTTCCTCCTTTCTGATGCAACATGCCCCACATGTTACCTAGTGCCCTAAGTCTGTGTTTCCTTTTTCTTGCCATCATTGTCAGAAATTCAGGGAGGTCGATTTTACCATTACCACCAGCAGCTACTCCCTTAATCGCGTCCTGAAACTCGACTTCTGTGGGATTCCACCCAAGAGACCATCTCATTACACTTCCCGATTCCTTTGTTAGTATAGTATAGTTCCATCCCCTTTCCTGTCAAATAGTGGGAAAGCTTCTTTGAATTCTGCAATCTGCCCTTCGGTCAGTTGGTCAGCCACGCTGCAAGCCTTACCAGTTTCTGAGACTCAACCACATAACCACTGGGCTCATTCGCTCCACTCAGATCCCATCACATTTCTAAAGTGTCACATAGCATGAATGGAATTTTAAACGTCTGAAGATATCAAACACGTTTCCATTTATTTTGGTTTAATAATAAGTTGTGTTTATTTTGTTTCCATTTTACTTTATTTTTAATCATATATATATATATATATATATATATATATTTTATTCAATTGGCACATAGTAATTGTACAGACTCATGGGGCACAGTGTGGCGTCTTTTTTTGTTTTAGTTTCCCGCTCCCCCACCCCCCCTGTCTTAAGATGAGGAAGGCTTGAATTTTAGGCATTCATTGAATGCTTGTGCATGCCATGTCAATGGATTAGACCCGTTAGCCGGCACACCAACTTCCCACACAAAGCCGTCCACTGAACCAAGAGGCCCAGCAGTCTCTGGAGAAGCTGCAGCCTGACCGTCTTCTCCACCATCACCCAGGAAGGATGAGACTCACAAACCCATGCTTGGGCCGGCGCTTTCCTCTTCTTCATCTTTTATTCCCATGAGTCCCAGGCCAGAGAGAGATCCATGAGGGCTAGCGGTTCCTGGCAGGAGGATGACGCAAAGGGTACCCGGGCTCAGGCTTCGGTAGAGCCTTCCAATCTTGCGGCTCCAACGCCGGGCTGCACTCTTTGCGTTTTCCGCCTTTAAGTTCTGCAGGGTCTCCCGCTCTGAGGGAGGAGGTCTAACTGTCAGACCTGCGGGCCTTCTTGATTCAGGTGGTGAGCGCCTAAGCCACGCGTGCAGGTGCCTGGGCGTTAGGGCCTGCCTGCCTTTCAGCTTCCAGTCCTTGCCTGTGAGGACATGGAGGGCCCTCTGGGCATTGCCAAAAGTTTTGAATTGCAGGAAGCAGTATTTTTCCTGTCTTCCGCTTTTAGCATCTGGAGGCACGATCACAGCTTCCAGGCCACCAAAGAGGTTCGGTAGTTCCTGAGTATGTCCTAAGAAATCTTTACTAACTCCAGACAGATAAATAGTGGCTCGGTTCTCAGAATCTCGTTCCAGCTCCTTAACAAGTGTGTCACAATCCAGAGTGAGTTCTGTCACAGGTCTCTGTACCTTTATGTACACACCTTCCACCAGAACGCCATTCAAGGACTCGATGGCCAGCTGGGCAGCTTCCAGGACTTCATACTCTATAGAGAGATGAGGCTGATGCGTTTCCAGAACAGCAGTCATTGTACGAACTGGGCCAAAGCTCCTAAACAGCCTCTTCAGAGCACTTAGTTTACAATCTTTGCTCAAGGGCCCAGCGTAGATAGTTGACATCTCTGTCCACTTGACCCGCATCCTTTTGTTCACTTCCTCAGTGAGGAGAGGTGAAAAGGGCTCAAAAGAGAACCGAATAATGCTGAAGGGGTACAGGCGGACTTGCCTTCGGGCCTGCTCAAAGACCTCTCTGTTGGAAAGGCACTTAATAGTTTCACAATCTTCAGGAGAAGGCAGTTCAATATCATCTGTCTCTCGGGTTACAAAAAGGAGCTTCTGATGCGCCGAATCGAAACAAGTTAAAGCACCTCTGTAGGGGTACTGGAACTTTTCTCTGACATTTCTTGGGTCTTGGGCTCTCCATAGCGCCTCCAGATTGAGTTCTGCAATCTTCCTTGGGCCATACTTGAGGAAATATTGAGCCAGTTCAAGGGTCGCGGTAGCGTCCTCTGTGGGATCATGACCGTCCCTTTCCGAACGTTGAATGTCCCTGCCCAAAATAGCTTTGGCTAAGAACTTTAGCTTGAATCTTCTGCCCCGCTCCCTGGCGTAAAGCAATGAGGTGTCGATAACATACGGATGGATCATGTTCAGTGCTCGGAGATCGACGTCTAAGGAATGACCTACCAACACCGCATCAGGAGGAAGCAGTGCTTTTAACCGCCTCTGAACGTCTTTCAGTTTCGTCGTCACCGGCTTAAGCATCTCCTCCGTGATCCCTGAATAGCAGGTGGCGTAGTCTACAATCTCCTCATCGGGTTTCACCAACTCATCCATGAGACAGGAGCCCCCTTCGGCAACCAGTGAGATGCGTGTTAGTTCTCTCCCCTTGGACGTGATGCACATTTCTCCGTCCAGCCCAAAGAGAGGGCTGTTCTCTGTGACAGACGCACTACAGCCGGTAGTTACAAAGTCCTCACAGTCCGGAGAACCTTGTAACGGAAAGTCAAATGTTCTCATCTCCTCCTCTGTCAGAAGGCATCGCAGCACGCCCACCTTCTGAGAGCCATACTTCTGAATGACGGGGTCATTCTGCAGGTCGACCTCGGGTTTTGTACTGGCGGACGGTAAAGATCCTCCCATGGTCTTAGGCAGATATCCAGCCCTTTGATTTGGTAGCCCGATAACATCAGCTAGAAAAGTAGATGATGGAGGAGGCAAGCGGAATTTGTGTCTGAAGGCTTTTCGGAGAAATCCAAACTCCAAATAGAACCTGTAGAAGTGGAGTTGACTCATCCCTTGAAGGATGACAACCACTGTTCTGCTCAGGTGCTTTCCGTACAGAAGCTGGCACCACCTGGGTCTCTCAATAACCGGTTGAGCCAGAACTGCATACTTGAGCAGCTCACATAGCTGCTCGTGGGTTATTTCACAGTTTTCAGCCATTACGATGCCAGACAACCGGGCTCTCTTGGGCTCGGGCTGCCTGTCCACGAGATCCGAACCGGGGGGTATCCTTACCTCGGGCGTCCCCATCAGCCAGTCGGGGACCCGTCTCCTCTGGCTGTTGAGCCTCCCGGTCTTCTCCTTCTCTGGCTCCATGATCCTGTACTAGAGTCCTCGTTGTGGAACGCTGTCCTTGGTGTAGAAAGCGGTCCCTGGCGTAGAAAGCTGTCCTTGCCTTGATGCCAATCCAGCAAGAGAAAACGGTCTCGAGAAGGAAAAAGGGTGGTTTCTTGCTTGGCTAGCAAAGGAGAAACAATGATTCTCACGTCAGCAGGAGTAGGGGGTTTTTATACAGGGGGTTTTCATAAGCGATTCAGAGAAAGTGAGATTAGGGAGGAGAGAGCAGGTAGGAAAAGATTAGGGAAAAGAAGAGCCCAGAGGAGGAGATCAGGGAGGGGGAAAAGAACAGGGAGGAGAAGTTTAGGGAAAAGAAAATCAGAAGATCAGGGAGGAGAAGGGTAGGGGAAAGAAAATCAGGAGGAGAAGGTTAGGGCAAAGAAGATCAGGGAGGAGAAGGTTGGGGAAAAGAGAAACAAACATGTAAGTTTCAAAGCGACAAGGGATGTAGCCAAAGCATCCAGTGAACCCCTGTTGCAACTTCAGTAAAATCTTCCCTTTGTATTCCAGCGTATTGCCTCTGGGGGACCTTTACAGTGGATTACCTTCCAGTAGTTTCATTACCCAGATTCGTTAAGTTCCAGGGGACAGGACCGTGCCCTGTATTTCATATTTTCTCAGAATTGTGCTGTATACGTAGCAAAGACTTGAAAAGGGGCGGGGAAAAAAAAGTGTAAAGACAAAAACAGCTAAAGGTCTTCAGTGTTTCTGTACCCCTACAATCATGAGTTCCCCAACATTACTGTAAAATACAGGGAGCAGATTAAATTAAGCTAAGTTTGCTAATATGTGCTTGAGGCCTATGTAGGTAAAATGACGACTAAAATAAAAAAGAGGATGACAGCCCAGCGGCTCTGGAGGCTGAGACAGGAGGATGGTGAGTTCAAAGCCTGCCTCAGCAACTTAGAGAGGCACTAAGCAACTCTGTGAGACCCTGTCTCAGAATAATATATATATATATAAAATACAAAATATGGCTGGGGATGTGACTTAGTGGTTGAGTGCCCCTGTGTTCAATTCCGTGTACAAAAAAACAAAACAAACAAACAAAAGCATCACCGTACAAGAACCCAGGTCTTTCCTCCCAAAGTCTAGTTTAGTTTCTCTTTCATCAGAACACATTAAGGGGTACTTGGCCATTTGCCCCGTAGCGTGAATGGGTTCATCGATCTAATTGGGTTGTTTTCAGTGTGGCATCTTAATACTTGTGTTCCAAGCGTAATGATCAGATCAGGGTAACTGGCATATATATCACTCACACATGTATCACTCCTTTGTATTGGGAACGTTCAAAACCCTATCAGGTTTCCCCCTTCCAGTACTGAGGATTGCATCCAGGGCCTTGTGCATACTCAGCAATTATTCTACCACTGAGATACACCCCCAATCAGGTATTTTGAAATATTTAATATTGTTGTCAATCACAGCTATCCTACCATGCTGTGGAATACTAATAGTAAGTCATTTCTCTTATCCAAGGGCACCCCCCATACCTATTAACCATCCTCTTGCCATGTTCCCTCCCCTACGCCCATTCCGGGCTCTGGTAACCACTATTCTCTGTATTCTATCAATTTTATTTTATTTTAATTATTAATTTTTTTTTAATATATGACAGCAGAAGGCATTACGATTCATATTATACGTACGGAGCACAGTTTCACATCTCTGGTTGTAGATAAAGCATATTCACACCGATTCATGTTTTCATACGTGTACTTTGGATAACGATGGCCATCACATTCCACCATCATTTCTAACCCCCTGCCCCCTCCCTTCCCTTCTCACTCCTCTCTCCCCTATCTAGAGTTCATCCCTTCCTCCCATGCTCCCCATCCCAGAGAAAACACTTGGCATTCGTTTGTTTGGGATGGGCTGACTTCACTTAGCATCATCTCCTCCATCTCAGTCCATTTACCTGCAAAAGCCATGATGGTATTCTCTTTTATTGCTGAGTAACATTCCCTTTTGTATATAAACAGACTGGTAGACCAATGGTACAGAATAGAGGTCACGGAGACTAACCCACTAAATTACAATTATCTTCTATCAGACAAAGGTGCCCAAAACATACTTTGGAGAAAAGATAGCCTCTTCAACAAACGGTGCTGGGGAAACTGGAAATCCATAGGCAACAAAATGAAATTAAAACCCCAGTCTCTCACCATGCACAAAACTCAATCCAGAGTAGAATTAGGACCTAGGAATTAAACCAGAGACCTTGGGTCTAACAGAAGAAAAAGTAGGCCCTAATCTTCGTCATGTGAGATTAGGCCCCAACTTCCTTAAAAGACTGCTATAGTGCAAGAAATAAAATCAAGAATTAACAAATCAGATGGATTCCAACTGAAAAGCTTTTTTGCAGCAAAAGAAACAATAAGTGAGGTGAACAGAGAGCCTACAGAATAATAGGAAATTTTTACCACACACAAATCAGATAGAGCACTCATCTATATAAATATATGTGTATACATATATATATATGTATGTATATATATAAATCTATATAAAGGACTCAAAACTCTTAATACCGAAAAAACAAATAACACAGTGAATAAAGGGGCCAAAGAACTGAACAGACATTTCTCAGAAAACGATATACAATCAAACCACAAATATATGAAAAAATGTTCAACATCTCTGGCAATTAGAGAAATGCAAATAAAAAATCACTCTAAGATTTCATCTCACTCCAGTAAAAATGGCAGCTGTTAAGGATTTAAAAGAAATAAACTCAAGAATTATTTCAGTTAAGAAATGAAATCAAGAATCAATAAGTCACATGAATTCCAACTAAAATTTTATTTTGTGAGTTTCAAAGGACAAGGGCTTTTTGCTTTCATATATTGGTGAGAGCATGCGTAATTGATTTTTCTGTGCCTGACTGATTGCACTTAACAGAGTGTCCCTCAGTTCCATCCAAGTTATCACAGTCCCTTTATTTCTTCATGACTCCTGAAAGAATCAATTTTTCTCAAGGAGTAAGTTATCAATGAGAAACCCAGATGTTAGAGTCTGTAAACAAGTCAAAATAACACCTGGCATTTTGCCAGGGGAATTTTAGAGTTCGTAAACAAGTCTGGATGGTGCCTGGCAAAATGCCAGATGGAGTGGTTTGAGAAGTATCAAAAGGGAGCCATTAAGTATGGAGATTCCTTATTGGTTGACTGATGTATCTAGTTTATGCTAATTAGATAAGCTGTGTGGAATGTATAAATACTTCTCCTGTCCTGCAATAAACAGCTCCCACTCCTGCTGTACCAACGTTTACAAGTTATTCGTCACCCCCCGGTTATTTTGCTGCAGCCAGACTGCAGCACCCAGAGGTATCATTTGAGGTTATTCTCAGATATTACCTTCTGAAAACATGACGTGAAGCAAAAACCTCCTTGGACTACAGAAAATAAACTTGGTCATTGTTCCTGCCCTCTTCTCTTCCATTTTACTCTTGCGCCAAGGCATTCTGGGTTGGTTTCCCATCTTCTGGCTCTTATACTGGACTTACCTTCACTGTGTTATTCATTGCATTGTCGTATAAATAGATTTGCTTTTCTTTGCTTCACCACACTGTATTTTCTTTGATATGAGCAGCTGTGTGTTTTATTTCTGAAGCCCCTGCTCCATAACGCTGGGCATTTAACACCTCATCTAAGAGTTTTTTAGGTTCAAGATCCTGGAATGATCCAGGGGCGAGAATTTTTATTATCAGTGCAGAACTATGTGTTTCAAAAGTGTTCAATGGATATTGGCCAGTCAGTGATTTTCTGATTTCTCTTTAGCTTTGGTGTGCTCAGCAGAAATATGCAGTAGCATGTTTAAGAAATCATTCAAAGAAATGGATCTTTCTTCCCTTGTTTGGTCACTCCCAATCTTCTTTTGTCCCCAAATTATTAGGTAATTACCCACTTTAGGCAATAACTAGCAGCATAGTCCACTATTTGCAAAATTCTGATATGAAAAACATTGTGATAAACCTAAATTTCACACGCACAAGAAATAACTCACAGAGCACTGGGATTGCAGTTACTGACTATACCAGAGATAGCAAAACAGGTCAGTGACAAATTTAGGTTCTGATTTAATCAGGTAGCCTGGAAGGCAGCCAGCATGTCAGGAAAGCTCAGAGAGAGCATGTTTTGTCCTACCTCCCACTCTATGGGCTTTTAGCCTTCATTCCTAAGCAAGAGCTGCTAAGTACTTGAGTGGTTTACAAAGCACATCAAAATTCTTTCTAGTCAGGCTGCAGGTGGTAATGCTCAACCAATGTCAAAGAGAGCCCAGAATCATTTCTAAGATTTTTTCCCCTCATCTTTGTCCCTTCATAAAGCAACGGGGTTTCTCTATAGTCAGGAATTTTATGGGCTGAAAAAATGAGGATGTGAAATAAGCAAGTCTATGAAAGGTTCTGAGGATTTGAAAGTACTCTTAGCATGAGGTTTGCCACTGTTGTGGTTTAGATATGAAGTGTCCCCCAAAGGATCATTTGTGAGGCAATGCAAGAAAGTTCAGAAGTTAAATGTTTAGATTATAAGAGGTGTAATCTAATCAGTGGATTAATCCACTGACATGGATTATCTGAGCAGTAACTCTAGGTATGCAGGGTGTAGCTGGAGGAAGTAGGTCACCTGGTACATGCTTTTGAGGTTTACATTTTATCCCTGTTGAGTGAGTGGAATATTTTCTCTCTCTCTCTCTCTCTCTCCCTCCCTCCCTCCCTCCATCCCTCCATCCCTCCATCCCGGTTGGTTGCCATGTTCTGAGCTGTGTTCCTCTGCCACACCCTTCTGCCATGATTGCTGCCTCATCTTGGGCTCAGAGCTATGGAGATGGCCAACCATGAATTGAATCTCTGAAACCATGAGTCAAAATAAGCTTTTCTTCCTCTGTGTTGTTTTGTAAGGTCTTTTGGTCGCAGCAATGAAAAGCAATGGAAAAGCTAACTAAAACAGCCAGCTTTCTACACATCATACATAGCCAGAGAGAGACAATGCCCTGGCACTGTGGCCTACAAGGTGGGTATAAGCTCAACTAAGGCTCAGGTGAAGTTAATTTTCTTTTCTCACTAAACCTCCCTTAGGGCTTTAGATTCCGCACTCCCATATCTGTCTTTCTGCTCCCTCAAAGTTGTGAATAGGATGTGGGATCAACTCATGATTAAACATCCTTACAATCAGCTAGGTCCAGAAAAAGTCCATCAGATTTGATTTGTATCTTACAACACATGTGGAATCCTCAGGTGGGGTGGAATATGAAGAGGCTCTCCTCTTTATG